AGGAAAATCAATATCTGCATTTAGCTTTTATGGGGAGAGAGAACGTATACAAAATATCTGGCATATCTATCAATGTATGAGTGTGAGATATATGCACACACAAAACATACACATACACATATAGGCTGCGCAAATCATTTGGAGGAGTCATTCAACTGTGGTAGCCCCTTTGCTACCAGTTTTGGTGAAAATATTTAATTGCATGAATATACATGTGCAGATGATCTGGGAGAGCCTTCAAAGCAGCTGCACTAAAACTTCAGGAGAATGCAACTACTATATGTGTATGTGTATGTTTTGTGTGTGCATATATCTCACACTCATACATTGATAGATATGCCAGATATTTTGCATACGTTCTCTCTCCCCATAAAAGCTAAATGTAGATATTGATTTTCCATAAAAATCATGTTTGGATTTTTTCACCAGAACAAGTAAATATAAAACAGCAAGTAATGTATGAGTGTGAGATATAAGATATTGATTTTCCATAAAAATCATGTTTGGATTTTTTCACCAGAACAAGTAAATATAAAACAGCAAGTATCTTCAGGAAAGTACTTATTTCCTAATTTTCCTAACAAGGAATATTTCACCTTGTTACCTTCATTACCATTTGAAAAAAAAATATTGAAAGTAACTATAGCATGCATGTGCCAGGGAAGCTGCATTCTTAGAAACTTAGAAACGCGAGAGCCACAGTTTGCTCACTGGATTGCTTTGGTCAAACACTATCCAAATATATAATTTGTCAAAATATAATAAGCAGACAAAGAATACACTACAACAAAACTTGCGCCACGGGGACAATTCCCTGTTCATTCTTTCCCACTCCTTCTGCCCCCAGAATTCTACTCAACAATTCAGCTTACAATTTTGTCTTCTGGTAAGGGAATGTTTCACAATGAAGTCTGGATAGTAGCTACTTATTATTTTCCCCATAAGAATGATTCTGGGGTTCAGAAACATTCTTTGAAATAAAGATGGTTATATATGTCTTGATTGGAAGTTAACAGCCAATCAGTATTCTATATAAAACTTCACCTTTCAAAAAATCACCTGAACACAGTATTCTCCATAACTATATCAAGGATCACAGAATCAGAATATATTTGTTAAATTCTGGAATTATCCTTACCCTTTGGCCTATATTTTTTCTACTTTCATTTAAATCCTATCCTACTCACTTTATATACATATACACCTTTTTTACTAATTTTTATTGCATATTTTTGCAAAGAAGCAGAAGAAAACCAGAATATTAGTTATAAAAAACACTTAAGTCTATGAATATTTAAATACCTCCCCTAGCTCACAACACAGCTTTCTTTCCCCCACCTCTGGCTAATGTTAGAGTTATCAATAATGGGTAGTGCTCGTTGACTAAGAGACACCCTTACATTCCAATTATGCTTTATCTCTGCAGCTTAATTTCATATTTTTCTATACCTAAAATATCATAATATTTCAAACACAATATCAACAAAGCATCAGGTGTTTTTACTTCCACATACACGGACATCAACAGAGCAGCCCACAGTCCAAGATGGATTTCCCAGCATCTGATTGTGACATAATAGGTGAACAAGTGATGATTTCCCCACACCTGTAACAAAATCATAAAATAAACCTTCAAAGGTAAACAGAGATTTCTTCTATCATTTTAGTTTTATTATATAACTGAAATTAAATAGGAATAAAGACAGCTCTTAAGAACAACTGTGAATGATAGAAACAAATGTAAAAATTAGATCCACCATGTACAAGTTAGATTTTCCAGAAAATTATAGGCTAGATTGTTTTTCTTATATCCTCAAATGATTGGAATCCAATCTTCCATGTTTGACATATTTATTAATAGCATTAGAGGAGTATGACACAACTGATGGCAGCCCCTAGCTGACTTGGCTTATCCTGAATAAAGCTAAGTAAAGTTGGATGTCATTAATCCTTGGAGAGTCCAAGGATTACAAAAATCCAAGATCCATGAATTAGACTGGTAAGAAAGAAGGAAAGGAAAGGAAAGGAAAGGAAAGGAAAGGAAAGGAAAGGAAAGGAAAGGAAAGGAAGCAAGCAAGCAAGCAAGCAGTGATTGTACCCTATCCCCATATGTTGTTCTATGACTATAAGAAAGATTGATTTGACTTGATATCCAAAACCGTTGAGAGCTGCTGGGAGGAGGATGGCATATAAATTTAATATATTACTTATTATCATCATCATCGTGCTTTAGCGGTTCCTGCAATGAGTAAGGGGTTGGATTGATGACTTTTGAAATCCCTTCCAATTCTGGGATTCTATGTTCTTGATAGCTTTAACCGGGATGAAAAAGACTAAATGAAATTTAGTAGAGACAGATGCAAAGTTCTTTACTGCACCTAAGTATCAAATCCACAGGTGTAAAATGACTTAGTATACGTCTAAGTGAGAAATGGGTTTTGGAATTGCAACTGATGTCAGACTGAGTATGAGACAGCAGTACTAATATGCCTGCTAAAAGCAATTGTAGTCTACATCAATAGACACAGAATAACAGTCTTAAATTACAGGAAGATTAATTCTGAGTGAATGTTAGGAAAACTTCCTAACAGATGGAACTAATTACAATAGGAGATCATAAATTTCAGTTTGCTGAATGAGTTCAAGTGAAGGCTAAATAGCCATTCGTTGAGAATGGTCTAATCTGGATTTTTGTACTGAGCAGAAGGTTGGACCCAGTGGTCTTAATGGCTCCTTCCAGTTCCGGGGTTCTATCTGACCCAGTAGTTATAGATACATTTTGACATAGCTTAATAATAGCCCCCTCCCCAAAAATGTGGTGGCAGGCACATATGGTAGCAAGAGTACCATTAGTTATTATAAACACACGGCACACAAATATATGTTTGTATGAAGGGCTAATGTTTCTACAACTGCACCTTTGTAGCATGTTAATTCCAGAAAAAAACGAGTTAAGTGCATTCATAAAAAGATTTTTGAAACGCTTATACCATCGAGCGCTATGGCCTCATTTACATGCATAGCAGAAGACAGATCTAAACTCCTCATTGGACTAAACCGGCTGAGACTGGAAGTAAAATAGCGATGCGTTAAATACCCACAAACACGTTTTAAAAATCAGAAAAATCCTAGCTGTATTCTCTATTACACTGCTTGTTTTTGTTTTGTATTCTGGAAGCCACGTTTTTAAGCAGGAAAGGAATTCCCAAATAACAGCCAGTTTGGAGTCCCACTACATTATTTCTGCCCCTTTCCACCAGAGAGGCAGACCTCGGTTCTGCTTCGTGGAAGACGGCTGCAGTCGTTCCTCGTGGCCTCACCCACTCACCTGAATCACCCAACACAAGCACCTTCACCCTTTCTAAGGTAGCCATTTTTTTCTTCAGGGGCAACTACCCAAAGCAGCTGTCGACGTGAGCTACTCCACTACTTTCATACTTCCTAAAATAGGCCAATCACAGATCGATTCGTATAAGCCTACCTTCTATTGGCTGATCATACACTCATTTCTTTCCTATTGGTCTCTAGAGCTGCGGGGGCGAGGCCAACCTTAATGAGGTAGGAAGTAGAACGTAGTGTGTCGCACAGCAGTGACGTTTCGCGATGGTCAGACTTTCCTTCGCAGCCACCGTGACGCCAACTTGTGGGCTTAGTAGCAGCGGAGAAATTTGTCTGGAGGCTTCGCAGATCAGTCAGACTCGTTGGGTGAGGCAGTCTTGACTTTCTTGTTCCTGGTCTCGAAGGCGATTGTGAGTAAAAGGGAGCCGTCGTCCCTCCTGGTTGGTTTCCACTGAGGTGGTCGGCTTCGGACTGAATCCTCCTCCGTGTAACGTAGTGGTAACAGCCCGTTTCCTGCAGACTGAAATGTAGTATGTCAGGGAGAAGGTTTCCAAGTTGCAGGTCTTTTCTGTTGGCAGCATTTTTAAGGACTCAGGAGTCACGCGAGTCTGCCATAGCTAGAGGTATAGCACAAACACGGGGATATTTCATTTTACTGGTCATTGACTGAATAAACTTACTGGTTGGTCATTCATCCACACAAAGGAAAAGGTCTGACCTTTCCTTCGGAAAGAGGTATCTGAGTGGGTGAAGCAAAATTCTCCCACACCTTTCATTCTTGCAATCTTTCAACATCTTTTTTTTTTCTCCCAGTCTGGGCCCAAAAGCAACAGTGAATTTGGTCTGAAGAAAGACACTTAGTACAGTGGCTCAGGCTACCGGATGTGGGCTGCAAAAAGCAGTCTAATGGCCATCTGGAATTTTGCAGCCCACTTCAGGTAAACAGAGCAATAGTCCACATGTAAAGTCATGAATTTCACTTGCTGGCCCTCTTAAATTAAGTGCATTAGATACTATATTAATTGATACAGCCTTGACTGACTAGAAGATAGGGGTACAATAATAGATTTTTCTTTGTTTCTGCATGTGTAAGAACAACAATGAAAGCTTGAAGACTAGAAGTAGTGTTATATATGCAGTTTTCTAATTTTCTTTTATTTATTATGGTGATAGTTAATCATAGTGGACGCTATTTGACACTAAGTGGAATAAAACAAGAATTTGAATATAATGTTTGTTTTGCAGGATAACTGCTATGACGGATCCAGACATTCTCACTGAGGTCCCAGCTTCTCTGAAACGCCTTGCTAAGTATGTAGTACGTGGCTTTTATGGTACTGAACATGCTTTGGCCTTGGACATTCTAATTCGGAACCCATGTGTAAAGGAGGAAGACATGTTGGAGCTTCTGAAGTTTGATCGGAAGCAGCTGCGAGCAATTCTCAACACTCTTAAAGGTGACAAATTTATCAAATGCAGAATGAGAGTGGAGACAGCTCCAGATGGGAAGACCACCAGGCACAATTTCTACTTTATTAATTACCGCCTACTGGTCAATGTGGTGAAGTATAAGTTGGATCACATGAGAAGGAGAATTGAGACAGATGAAAGAGACTCCACCAACCGAGCCTCCTTCAGGTGTCCTATTTGTTCCAGTACCTTCACAGATTTAGAGGCAAATCAGCTGTTTGAACCTAATACAGGTAAGATACAAGAATCCCCCAAAGTGCTGAAATAATTATTTGCCATCTTATCTGAGAGGGTTGATTGGGAGTTTGGGGGTAGAAAAAAGCTAATATAACTTGGTTGTTCCATTAGATTTCTTTAAACAGGTTGCGGATGTCAACACTTTTATGGCAATCTAGTTATGTATAGGCTAGACATTAAGACTTTCTAGGAATGAAAATGAAGAGAAGTGTATTTCTAATTTAAATAATGGGAAAAATATTAAAAGAGAAATATTACAGAAGGATGTGTAACCAAGACATGGTCACACATGCTTCTGTAATATTTCTCTTTTAATATTTTTCCCATTATTTCATCATAGGCATAGTAAACTTTGAGAGCTGCACCAAAGAAAATGGATCTGGGAGACTGCTTCATTAGGATAGTCTAGTTGCAATCCTCCCCGAACATGTAGTATTGTGAATGTATCATAGAAGACAGGAATAATTTATTTATCAGACTTATTTAGCTGCAAGATTGGAAAGACTCAAGTCAGCTTATATTAAAAACTCATGAAAACAAACAATCAGAAGGCAAAAGGTATAGAAACTAAATGATCCAATGAGGAATTACAGAAAAAATAATTTCAGTTCTCCCTCATGAGATTGCTTGGCAAGATCACAAAAGACCTTAGCCCGGGCCTGTTTGTAAAGCCAGTTTTCACTACCTTTTTAAAGCAGAGTAGAGATGAGGCCAAATGGACCTCTGTAAGGAATGGTATACAGAGGGCAGAAATAGCAAGTCTCTGGGATCCTGCAAAATTGCATTGTTTAATTGTGAAAAGTTACCTTTATTGCCACTAAGGCCATATGTCACAACGTGCTGAGAACTGCCTGACAGTGGATGAGAACTGGACTAACACCATAACCAGAGCTGGTATCCTCTCCTTCACCATAGCCTTCTGGCCTCCATTCTCTCTCATGTTCACATCACACTTTTATACATTTTTTGCTCTCGTGTGTATGTACATATTCATGCATGTGGAGGCTTGATATAGGGAAGAAAACAAGAGCCCTGCTGAATCAGATTAACAACCTGTTTAGTCCAGCATTTTGTGACACGTACTGGCCAACAAACTACTGACTAGGAAACTCACAAGTCTAGCTAGAAGAGCAGTGGCAGCTGCTAATAAAGGAAGGTTGCTTGTGATACAGGAGATAGATCAGCTTTCAAGACTTAGCCACTGACCGCCTGATCCTCCTTGCATTTGTCCAGTCCTCTTAAAACCTTAAACTGGTGGAGCCATCAGTTAGGTAAATTAACTACTATTTAAGTTAGGTAAATGCTGTTGATAAATACTTTGGTCTTCTCCATGTTTTGCCTTCTCCCTGAATAAAATGCATCCTTCCCATGAAAATCTTGCTCTGAACAACCCATCAAATAATTTAATACTTAATTAGCATTTTATATTTCCTAATTTTTAGTGGTTTATTTTCTGTATAGGAATTTTTCGCTGCACATTTTGTGAGACTGAAGTGGAAGAAGATGAATCTGCAATGCCTAAAAAGGATGCAAGGACTCTTGTGGCCCGATTTAATGAACAGATAGAACCTATTTATGCATTGCTTCGTGAGACTGAGGATGTTAATTTAGCTTATGAACTACTTGAGCCTGAGCCTATGGAGATTCTTGCACTGAAGCAGAGGTGGGCCAGAGTATTAATTTGTCTGAACTTGGTAATCAGCTGTTGACAGTTTTCTCAAATTTGGTTTCTAAAAAGATATGGCATTGGATATGTTAAAGGTAGACTTTTATGATTTATCCAGGTTACAGATGATGGCTGTACAATCTCACTATAATACTAAACGCATTTATTAGCATAACTCTCTGATAAATTTTGATAAATCAGGCTGTAATCTTATGCACTCACATAGAAAAAAGCCAGATTTAACTGAGCTGGACTTACTTCTAACTGATGCATGGAATCATACCTTTAGACTTTATATAAATTTATATAAAAATGTTTCATATGGTTTTTTACTCTGTGACTTAAGCCTTCACACTTTTTTTTCCTTTTTAGAATTGAAGGACTATTCTTTTGTTCCCCAAAATATGTTTTTATATAAGTTAACACAGTATTAAAATACACTGAGATTGTTCTCTAATACAAATCTTAACATATAGAAAAAAAGTTAATAAGATCCTGAGTGATCGGGTTTGGTTTTGTTTTTTGGTTTTTTTTTAGAGTTCTGTAGTATCTTAAAGACCAAAACATTTTTATTGCATATCTGAAATCCTATGCACATTTACCTGGGAGTAAGTTCCACTAATTACAGCAGTGCTTGCTTCTGAATACATAGGTTTAGTTAATAAGCAATATTAAGTATTAACACAGCAGCCCTTCCCTTTGATTTAGAAGTGCGTGTGCCTGTGTATTTATGTATACAATCAATGTTACATATTAATGTTAATATATAATTGTAAGAGCAGTTTGACAGTGGAGCGAATTACCAAGAGGTGGTAGGCTCTTCTTCACTGAACTGTCAGACTTGCTTTAATTAGTTTTCTGCAGTGAGCAGGGGTTGGATTCAGTAACCTAAAGGGCCCCTTTGAACTCTAAGATTCTACTGTACTGATTCAGTTTTATTTGGCACTGGCTATTCATTCTTAGCATCTACAGATTTGATAAGCAGATCATCTACAGGAATAGGCAGCTTGTTGCCTATAGTACCGCTCATGATGCCTACCACATTCTGTACCCTGCTTGACTAATATTTTTTAGATTATGTTAAGTAAAAATAAATCAGTGGGAAGCTGCCATGCTATAGAGCATCAGCGTTACAGGTGGTCCTTGCTTAACAACCACTCGTTCAGCAACCATTTGAATTTAACGATGGCACTGAACAAGTGGTACTTACAACCAGTCCTCATACTTAAAACAGTCGCAGTGTCTCTGCAGTCATGTAATCACCATTTGTGAACTTCAGTGCCGGCTTCCGACAAGCAAAGTCTGTGGGGAAGCCTGCAGGAGTTGCAAATGGTGACCACATGACATCGTGCTTAACAACGGTGTGGAATTTGCTTAACAACGGCAACTGGAAGTGCCGGAACTGCCATTGCTAAGCAGCACAGTCATGTGACATTGTGCTGTATGACTGTGTCGTTTAGCGATGGAAATTCCGGTCCCAATTACTGTCATTAAGTGAGGACTACCTGTATTTTTATTTCCAAGAGTGCATAGGTGGCTCCCAGAGGCATTCTTAGAAAAGAAACATTAGAGGTAGCTACAGTCTGGTAGTTTGTCTGGAGCTGTATCTAGGAAAAAGTAAAAGGTGAGCTTACAGACAAAAATGGTAAGGGCTGTAATACCTCTGAACTCTGTCTTGCTATTGCTTCTAAATTCCTCTAGAGCTAATGATGTTTTTGTAATCCAGTTGTAATAAGCATATAGTGCCTTTAAAGATGAGTATCATTGGTAGAGATTCTCTGTGTGAGAAGTCTTAATGACCCTATACAATATTGGGTAAGGTGTATTAGTCTTTAAATTGTACTGTTGTAAGAATTTTATTTAAGTAATATATAATATTTCTCTTAACCGAATGTGTGTTTTATGATTGTCTGCAGCAAAGAACGAGCTGTTGCTGCATTAGGAAATAGTAGTTTACCAAGTGGGCAGCACAGAGAAGCCTGGACAACAAAGGGTCCTTCTTATGGGGATATGTATACTCAGAATGTAATTATTAACATGGAGGATCAAGAAGATACACATCAGCCAGCAAATGAAGGGAAGCCACCCAGAGAGAGGCCAGTCTGGCTGCGGGAAAGCACAGTGCAAGGCGCTTATGATCCTAATGAGGTCACAGAAGGTAAGAAAGGTGTAACGGGAAAAATGTGTTATATAATCCAAAAGCTTGTAAATAGGGAAGCATGTACATTATAGCTAGTCCTTGACTTACAATGGCAATTGGGACCAGAATTTCCATCACTAAGTAATGCAGTTGTAAAGTGTGACCACATCGCTTAGCAACAGCAATCCCTGCAGTCCCAGTTGCCATCATTAACTGAATCCCATGGTCGTTAGGCAAGGTAATTTCCTGCCAGTTTCCCACAACCAAAGTCAATGAGGAAGCTGGCAGGAAGTTGCAAGTCCTAGGCCCATAGGCAGGTAAGTGGATGCTACTGGGTGGGGGAGGATCAGAGAAGGGGTCTGAGGGTGTGTAAGAGGTGCCATGTGGGTCAGGGAGGGTGCAAGGGTGTGTGTAAGAAGTGCCATGTGGGTCAGGGAGGGTGTGTAGGGGTGCTGCATGGGTTAGGGAAGGTGTGCAAGGGGGTGAGAGGCACTGTGTGGGTCAGGGAGGATGTGAGGGGGTGCATGAGAGGTGTTGTGTGGGTTGGGGAGAGTACGAGGGGATGTGCTAGAAGTGCTGGTCGGGGAGGGTGTGCAGGAGTGCAGTGTGGATTGGGGAGAGTGTGCAGTGGGGTGGGGCAGGTGCAAGGGGCTGTGTGGGTGGCCAGTGTGGTGTGAGCACAAAGAGGCTGGGGGAGGGTGCAAGTGTGGGGGAGACTTACCCCAGCGACTTGTGACCCTCCCTGCTGACTTCCCCATTGACATTCTGTGGAAGCCAGCAGGGAAGATTACGAATTGCAATCATGTGATCGTGGGGCACTTGGCAACCGATTGTAAAAGTGAATGGGTTGCCAAGCACCCAGATCGCGATCTGGCAGGGGTGCTGGGACACCCAGAACTCTGAGGACCAGTCGTAACCACCATTTGTTGAGTGCTGTCGAAACTTCAAATGGTTGCTGAAGAAATTGCTGTAGGTCGAGGACTACCTGTATATCCCTTCATATGTATGAATGCAGCCACATTCCTACACATCCTAGTATAACAGTTTCCCTTTTCACGTTTCAGAATATTTTAATACTTCAATACTGAGTATCCTAAGTATATAATATTTTAATACTTCAGAGTATTAAGTTTCCTCTAAAGCCAGGGGCCAAGACCTGAACTCACTATTTTTAATTTGGTGCAGTGTAAACTCTTGTAAGTGATGTGGTGTATGCACCTATTATTATGATTTCCAGCTTCTGTTTTCCCTCTTATAATGCCAGCTTTTTAACCTTTGTAGTGTTTTTTTGCTGTTTGTGTAGCTGAAACTCTTTTGCTTGAATTTTTACAACTGATTACAAGTTGATTTTTAGGATTTAGTGTTTTTACCTTTTTAAAGCAACTTTGGAATAATGATTCCAGAAAAAAAGTTGCAACAAAAGCATTAATTTTCTGATTCCTATTGCATTCTGTTTGTTGCTAACCAATATATGATTTTGCTTAAATACATTTGCAAATATACATTTATATTTACACAAACTCATGTTTCCATACATTCATTCAATGGCTCAATATTTAATAGGTAGAACTTAAATTTAAAGTTTTGTATAATTAATCATTTTTTCTATTACTCTACTTCTGCTTTTATTATCTTGTTATCTGTACTCAGTGCATTGTAGTAAATTGTTATACACTCTTATTGATGTTTTAGATGTTAGGCTTTTTTCAAATCCAGTCGAATTCAATCTTTATTAAGGTCATAGTCCAGCATAAGAGGGTGGGATACTATCACTAAAAAACAGCATAAGGGATCTAAAAAGTGAAAATCTAAAAAAAATTATAAAAAGGTAGAAGATATAAAAGATAAATTAAAACCTAAACGTATATATAGAAAGTAAGAATCTAAATGATAGGTGGTGTAGGGGAGCATGAAAAGTTAGTTTGTGGACTTTGTTAAGTTATAAAGCACCTTAATATGACTAATTAGGTGCACACTAAATCTACTTTATAATGCTGAGCCCCAGGCACAAGCCATACGTCATCATCCAACTAACTGGGCTGCCCAGTACCTGGCAACGTTGTCTGTTGCAGCGGGGTAAGTATCTGAATACTTTCACGTCCAAAACGAATATAATTTTTAAATACTTTCTTGCAGGTGGCCAAGACATAAACATGTTACAGGAAGATGAAGAGGGACAGGCAGCACTAGATAATAATGAAGAGGTAATGCGTGCTCTGCTCATCCATGAGAAGAAAACCTCATCTGTCTCTACGGCTGCTATGGGAGGGATCGCTCCTTTGTCTGGCACAAATGCCAGTGATTCTGAGAGTGAGACCAGTGAATCAGATGAGGACTCCCTTCCCTGTGCGGCCACTGCTGCAACAACACTCTATGGGCTGGCAGACGACAACGATGAGGATGAGTTTGAGGTAGTGACTGAAGATCCCATTGTTATGGTGGCGGGACATCCATTTTCTTATAGTCAAGTAAATCAGCGGCCAGAGCTCGTGACACAGATGACTCTGGAGGAGAAAGAGCAATATATAGCTATGGGCCAGCGCATGTTTGAGGATATGTTTGATTAACTTCTTCCTGCCTGAATAGCAGTGATAGATAATCTTCAACTGGAAATTCTGAAACAGCAAAAGATTGAATTAGAACCAAACAGAAGGACCAAAGATCAGAAGGAGCAGCCACAAATGCAGGAAGATGTGAGAAACCTATAGGCAATCCAGATGTGCTCTCCCTCATATTTGCACATGTGCACATGCCCCTGTGTTTAGTCTACAAGTTTTCCATTGCATTATACTTAATTTTTTGTTTTTTGCCTGGAAAATCTGAATGCTCTTTTGATGGCTTGTTTTTCTTTCTTCAAAAAAGGATTGTAGAAGGCATTACTTTCAGTTTACTGGATTCTGAAAATAACTGCTTGCACCACATACTTACTTACTGCCTTGCAAGCATGGTGAATATACCAGGTCCTTATTTCCAGCAGGCTGACAAGCTGACAAGATAAATGTTTGTCTGCCATATATCTTTGGGGAGGGCGGGGAAACAGAGAACCTGTGACCACAGAGAGCATAAATACAATCATGTTAATCAGTGAGTATTTGGTGACTACAGTGTACATTTTTTCTGGAGAGGAAGACATTCTGAGGATAGGGAGCCATTTGAGTTATTGTTAAAGAAGGAGAAGAAAAACCCAGAATTCAGATAACACAATCTTACCAAATGTGTCTGCCTTTAAAAAAAATGCATATCAGTGAGTGACTCTTCTCTGCTAATTTAGCAGATTTTTAAATTTTTCATTTAATAATTTCATCTGCCATGCTATAATTTCCAATGAGGTAACTTTTCATTAAAATATAACTTGGATCATTTTCCCACCTTTTCCAAAAGTGGTCTTATACATCCCATTGGTGGATGGTTAGCCTATTTGAATAAAGCCTCACTTGGTTTACAGAAAGACTAGAGCAAAAACATGTTTCTTTACATGTTATGTAATCCATGAGGAAAAGGCAAAAATAAAAAAGTTGCCTCATAACAGACAATAAAGAGGAAAGCAGGATGTTGCCTTTCTTGAAATCTGTACTCTGTCCAGTAAAATATATTTGTCATGACTAGGAACTACCATCCAAGTAAATTGTGGGGACAGCAATATGTTATTTTAATAGAAATCTAAACAGTTTTAGTATTTTTAAAAAATTATGCAGACTTTTGTTAGAAGTCACTGTAGAGCATGACATAGTTTATTTTAATATTTCAATGGTACCTATATGCACAAATTCAATTTTGTAATATTTTACCTTTCTAAAACACCTACAACTTTTAAAAAAATCATTGTGCATTTATTTGGAACAGCAGTGGGCTATTGGTAAAAGAATTGTGTATTTCAAAGCTCTAGCATTTATTGCATATTCCATTTTAGTATACCAGAATGGTACAAGTTAACAGGCTTGTAAATTGAAAAGCTACTATATAGTGACCATGTGTGTTGCCTATGAGGTTTCTTTTATGACTTTCAGAGAGTTTGATAGAGTCAAATTTTGTTTCTTCTACTTTAAAATAAATTTTAAAAAAAGAATAATTTGATGCCTTCATTAAGGACCATTGTTTTTTAACTTACAAATAAGCATTCTAAACAGCTGGTTTTATTTTATTTTATTTTATTTTATTTTATTTTATTTTATTTTATTTTAGCAATGGATAATATCAGTTGAAGAATTACTGAAATATATACAGCTGTTCCCACAAAAATGCTTGCCTGTGTCCAGCACAATGTCCTTGTCCTACTGTGTATTTGTATGACATAGCAAGGCCATGTGAATGAATGGACCAAAAATATTTCTCCTTCCATTCAAGTGCCATTGTGGATGCAGATGTTCTGGAGAACTTGACCAAGATAGTAGTATGTATTGGCAGTTAAAAGCAGCCCTCCAACTTGTATGGTCCCTCTTCTTTCAAATGGTAGGAAGAAACATAGACGCTCAAGGGGAAAATTTCTCATCGCCAAACAGCAGTGCATCAGAATTAAATCACTGCAATACAGATAGGGACAACCTGAAGTGTAATTCTTTTAATGGTAAAGTAGTTTTAACAGTGAGTATGTTGTAGATGAGAACTATCCATAGACATAAATGTTAGGGCTGTGCAGTATTTCAGATTCAGTTGCAGAAAGGCACATTGGAGCATACAGGGATGCTCACGTAGCGCCTGTCTGCCTTAGTGTCTTTTTCCAGGATTGTGTGCCTTCCTATCACCCCTATCACAGATGATCTCAGGAGAAGATGCATTTTGTTTTAGGACACTTCATGTGCATCCCACATGGCCTGAACTACCTTTTGGCCTTTGAATTTGAAGAACAGCGTGGGCCTAATATCTTTTTGGAATATTAGAAAATCCTTATATTACAGAAAAATGGAATATTGCAACAACTGCTAACTATCGTGAGAGCATGAATATAGTATATGCTGAGGGCTGAAACTTTTCTCACGTTCCTTTGTATCTTTTCTCTGCCATGTCTTGGGCCCTATTTAATAACATTACATTTATTTCATATAAGACTCTGTTTCTAGTTTTCAAAGGTGCTACTGCCTGGCTTTTAGAAAACAAAAACTCTATCCATTTAATAGTAAAAAGTTGAATATTATTAATGGACTCATAGAAGGGGCCACTGAGTCTTGCCCAAGCCCAAGATGATGCCCCAGTGGTTGCTTGTTAGTATGTGTTGCCATCTTTTTTTCTTCCTCTTCCCCAACCATAGGAACAAGACTAAAAAAGGGAAAGTGTCTTCCCCTTTCTTCTAACAAAAGGGGGGAAAAACAATCACAAAGGCTACAAGTCTAGCAACATTCAATCAGTTTGCAGAAGCTGATGCCATCTGAGGCATGTTACCTAACAGTGCGGCATCAAAATTGTTTAAAATAATAATTACTTTATTAGAAAATATTTAACAGTAAAGAAAAACATGGATGAGTGTTGGGCTTAGAGAAGGATTAGATTCAAAGAGTAAGTGTAAATAAAGGTACGCTACTGAAAATGAAAATTCAGCTTCAGAGAAAAATAGTAGTAAAAAGAATCAGACTCTTGAGTTCATCCAACCCCCTTCCCCAATACATTCTAGAAGACAAGATGCATTGGATTTCCTTTAAAATCCTGGAGGATTCCCATCCCCCAACCTGGAGGCGATGCTAACCTTCCTTTTCCTCTGAGTTACATCATTCTTCTTAAGGATTTAATTCCTGTAATTCCTGGCCATGCTGGATAAACAGTCGCTGTTTACAGAGATGTTTGTACTGAGCTGATGCCAGGAAAATAATTTTAAGGGACAGTTGAGATGTTTTCCATATTTTTCCCCTTTGGATCCAGACATCAAACTGGCTAAATCTGCTCATCCTCTCCTCTTTCTTTCCTTATATCCAGATGTGTATTTAGTGCTGTTCACCAAGTTCCCTTATATCATTCTAGGGTGGGTTCCATGTTGGGAAAGGCTGCCTTAAACAAAGACCAAAGCATAGGAACTTTCTCTCCACACCTCCAGAATACATGGATGAATTTCTCTGATGCTTGAGGACTCAGCTTCTAAAAGAATTCTTCTCTGGGGAAGATTCAAAGAATAAACATCAGCAAATTCCTCCCTAGCCTCCTCCCTCAAAGGTGGTGTGTGTGAAGGGTAAAAGTGTGTTTGCTCAGGAATTTAGCCAAATGTCCCTCCTGGGTGTCCATGGTAGAGGGGGGGGGGAAGAGATTAAGTTACAGTCCCTTGTATGTGCATCCAACAGAGCTTGCCTGGCTAGAGAATAGAGTCCTGATTTGTTCTGCTGTACACAGTGTAAGTTGGTGATAGGTGGCACCATGCTAAATTTTTTAACAAAAACAGTATATGAATACATTCAGAAATGCAACCTCAGTTATTAACATCATCCCTTATTAACACAACTCCTAAGTTAACTATCCTTTCTGTCGTTCTTTAATTTATCACTCTAGTAGAGACTTCTTACCTAATGCTAAGTTTACTTTGGAGAGGTACTTTCCTCTGTATGTGTTTGATTATTACTTATTGATTATTACTATATATATTAATAGCACTCAATGCTACACAGAACATTATTAGTTTATTATGCCATGACTGATTAGGTTTACATATTAGTGGCTAAACCACAAATACGTAGTACAATCAAGGTGTAAACTCAGCCTTTTTGCAGCTGAAATGGTATTATAAACATAAAAAGAGGTTATATTGGGAGTCATGGCAAAGCATCAGAGTTTGCATAAGTAAAAAAAAAAAAAAAAGGAAAAAAAAGACATCCAGAAGGGCCCAGAAGTCAACTAGTCCAATGAAGATTACTGTTGTTCAGTGGCCATGGAATATTAGAGAGGGAAAGAACCCAGAGAATTCTGTAAAAGGATGAAATACAGAAATGGACAAAGAGGGAGAGCCATACTGGGCAGATTCAGACATAATGTTAAGCCACAAAACATAATTTATAAATTCTTAAGAGCGAAGTTTATACATTCTGCTAAGCCAAAACCAAAGAAGTGACATGAATTTGTACAAGTGAACTCAGCCATTACCTTTGAATGTAATTTACTCTAACATCTATTGTATGTTTGAAGCCTGCAAGGAAAAAAAATGAAAGTTTACAGTAGCTTGCAATGTTGGCTGTTAGTCTTGTAAGTCATAGATAAGTTTGAGGCTAGCTAAGATTCCCAGTAAAAATCCTCCTATCTATGAACATTTTGTTCCAGAACCCCTGCTTGTATATACTACAGTACTAAGTTATCCCATAGGTGGTTAGAACAGCACAAATTTACACCCCTATTGATTTTGGGGGTGGAGGAGGAGGACTTGAGAGCCCAGGCCAAAAATTGGTTGTAGTACTACGTTAAGATTTTCTTTTTTAACATATTTATACTCAAGCTCTATTATGTCTCTCAGAAACAATCTTTATCACTTCCTGCTAAATACATCCTCACACAAAAACATGTCATTGAGAGAAATATGGTAGCGATGAAGAAAAAAGAGCAAACATTTGTGATAACAAATATATAGCCAAATTGCTATTATGACTGTTTTCAGTGTGACATTTTTCACTATCTTAATTATTTGTAACTAAATACAGTGGTACCTCTAGTTACGAACTTAATCCGTTCCGTGACTCTGGTTGCAACTC